CAATTTGGATAGCAGCAGATTTATCTACAGAAACACTTCAGGCTAGGAGAGCTTGGAGTCCAATCTTCAAAGTTCTCAAAGACAAACAATTTCAACCAAGAATAATATATCCAGCTAAGCTAAGCTTCATTAGTGAGGGAGAATTAAAATCTTTCTCAGACATTCAATCCCTAAGTGTTTACGCTGCTTTACAAGAAACTCTTTTTTTTTTTGAGTTGGAGTCTCACTCTGCCACCCAGACTGGAGTGCAGTGGCCGCTCCTGGCCACTGCAGCCTCGACCTGCTGGGCTCCGGTGATCCCTCCACCTCAACCTTACAAGAAACTCTTAAAAGTATTAAACACAGAAGAAAGGGAAAAAAGAATGACAAAATTCTTCACAAGAGTACAGGAGAAAGATTAAAAACACACACGAATCAACCCAAAGATCAGACGAAAGACAGTAAACAAATAGCAACAACAGCAACTCTCAAAGAACCTCATGACAGGGATACTCTCACATTTCAATAATCAGCATGAATGTGAATGGACTAAATGCACCACTGTAAAGACATAGAATGGCAAAATGGATAAAATATCATGAGGCAACAAGAGACTCATCTCACCAGAAAGGACACTCACAGACTCAAAGTTAGAGGATGAGAAGCAATATTTCAGGAGAACAGAACACAAAAGAAGAAGGAGTTGTGATCTTAATTTCAGACAAAATACTCTGAAGTTCAATCTGTCAACAAGAAATATCCATCCTAAACATATATGCACCCAACATGGGAGCACCAATTTTCATAATGCAGTTTCTAGGCAAACTTAAAAAGGATATTGATCTAACACTATCATACCTGGAGACTTTATTACCCCACTCACAACCCTAGACAGATCACCAAGACAAAAAAATCAGCAAGGAAATCTGGAATCTCAGTGTGACTCTTGACCAAATGAACTTAATTGATACCTACAGAACACTTCACCCAAGGATCACAGAATATACATTCTATTCATCACTACATGAAATGTACTCTAAGACTGACCACATCCTTGGCCATAAATCAAGCATAAACAAATTTCATAAGGTTGAAATTTTGTCATGCACCTTCTCAGACCAGAGTGGAATAAAAATAAGTGTCGACACGAACAAAGTTCCCCCAAACCACAAAGACAAGGACACCAAACAGCATGATGCTAAGCAACTCCTGGGTCAACATGGAACTCAAAACAGAGATTAAAAGACACCTATACACAAATGAAAATGAAGAAACATCTTACCAAAACCTCTGGGATGACATGAAAACAGTAGTAAGAGGGAAATTCATACCTCTAAAAAAACACATGAAGAAAATGGAAAGATCACAAGTTAACAGGCTAACAAGTCACCTAAGGAAGCTGGAAAAGCAAGACCACCAAAACCCTAACTTCAGCAGAAGAATCCAGATCACTAAAATAGAAGCCCAAATCCAGGATACAGAAGACAAAAAGATAATACAAAAAAATCAATGCAGCAAAAAGCTGACTCTTTGAAAGGCTAAACAAGATCAATGGTCCCCTAGCTAGACTGACCCAGAAAAAGAGAGAAAAAGCCCAAATAAACACAATCAGAAACATAAAAGTTGAAGTCAAAACTGACCCTGAAGAAATACAAAAGATTATCAGAGACTACTATGTACACTTCTATGGAAACAAACTTGAAAACCTAAAGGAGATGTAGGACTTTCTGACATCACACAACCTCCTCAGGTTGAAACAAGAAGAAATTGAGACCCTAAATAGACCAGTAACAACCCAGGAAATGGAATATGTCATAAGAAAACTTCTTACAAAAGAAAGCCCTGAACCAGATGACTTTCCAGCAGAATTCTACAAAACATACAAGGAGGAACCAATACCAATCCTATTGAAAGTATTCCAGATGATTGAGAAAGATGGAACTCTCCCCAAATCATTTTATGAAGCTAACATCACATTGATACCCAAGTCACGTAAAGATCCAAAAAAGAAAGAGAACTACAGGCAATATCCTTGATTAATATAGATGCTAACATTCTCAACAAGATCCTAGAAAACCAGATTCAACAACACATATCAAAAATCATCCACCACGAACAAGTAGGCTTTATCCCTGGAATGTAAGGCTGGTTCAACATTCGTAAGAACATAAACATAATTAAATACATCAACAGACGTAAAAACAAAAACCACATGATTTTATCATTAGATGCAGAAAAAGCTTTTGGTAAAATTCAGCACCCCTTCTTGATAAAAACCCTTGAACATCTAGGCATATATGGAACATACCTCAAAATAGTAAGAACCATCTATGAGAAATCTACAGCCAGCATACTGCTAAACAGACAGAAATTGGAACCCTTTCCCCCGAAAACTGGAACAAGACAAGATGCCCATTCTCACCCCTCCTATTCAACATAGTTTTGGAAGTTCTAACTAGAGCAATCAGAGAAGAGAAGGAGATTAGGGGTATCCAAATAGCAAAAGAGGAAATCAAGTTATTCCTTTTTCCAGATGACATGATTCTATACCTTGAAAACCCAAGAGAATCTGTCAAAAACTTCCTTACACTAATAAAGGATGTTGGCATAGTCTCAGGGTATAAAATAAATATGAAAAAGACAATCACATTTCTATACACCAATAATAAACAAACAGAAACCCAAATAAAAAGCACAGTTCCATTAACAATAGCCACAAAAAAATATGAAATACCTTGGCATCTTCCTAACCAAGGACGTGAAAGACCTTTACAATGAAAACTGCAAAACATTGCTCAAAGAAATCAAAGATGACACAAACAAGTGAAAACATTTCCATGCTCATAGGCTGGAAGAATCAACATTGTTAAGATGTCCATTCTACCTAAGGCAATCTACAGATTTAATGCAATACCCATCAAATTACCATCAACGTTCTTCTCATACCTAGAAACAACAATGCTGGAATTCATATCGAAACATAAATAACCATGAATAGCCAAAACAATCTTCATCAAAAATAACAACAACAAACAAACAAAGCAGGAGGTATCACACTCCCAGACTTTATACTTTATTATAAAGCTACAACAAACAAAATAGCCTGGTATTTGTACAAGAACAGGCACATAGAACAACGGAATAGAATTGAGATTCCAGAAGCAGAACCTCAATATCTCAACCAACTCATCTTCGAAAAAGACTCCACCACCAACCACTGGGGAGAGGAGAGCCTCTTCAGTAAATGGTGCTGACCACATGCAGAAGATTAAAACAGGACCCCCACCTCTCCCCATACACAAAAATCAACTCTAAAAGGATCAGAGACCTAAACTTAAAACCTCAAACTATAAGAACCTTAGAAAATGCAGGAGACACTTATGGAAATTTTAACTGGCAACCAATACCTGATCAAAACCCCAAGTGTCCCTACCATAAGAGATAAGATAGACAAGTGGAACCTTATCAAACTGACAAGCTTCTGCAAAGCCAAAGAAACCATTAAGAGAGCAGGGAGATAGCCCACAGAATGGGAAAAAATATTTGCCAACTCTATGTCTGACAAAGGCCTAACATTAGGATCTATAAGGAACTCAAACACGCTGAATGGAAAAAAACACAGTCCCATTACAAAGCGGGCAAAAGATATGAATAGACAGTTCTCAAAAGAAGGCATACGAGCAGCCAACAGGTACATGAGAAAATGTTCAGCCTCACTAGTCATCAAAGAAATGTGAATTAAAACTACACTGAGATACCTCCTAACTCCAGTCAGAATGGCCATCATTAATAACTCAAAAAACAACAGATGTGGTGAAGAAGGAACACTTCTACACTGTTGGTGGAAATGTAAACTAGTACAACCTTTGTGGAAAACAGTGTGGAAATTCCTAAAAGTTCGAAAAATTGACCTTTAATATGACCCTGTAATCCCTCTACTGGGAATATACTCGATAGAACTCAAATCACTCTATAAAAAAGATACCTGCACATGTATGTTTATTGCAGCATTGTTCACAACAGCAAGAACATGGAACCAACCGTCTGTCCCTCAAAAGGGGACCATATTTTTTAAAATGTGGCACAGTATACACAATGGAATATCATGCAGCCATAAAGAACAAAATTATGAACTTTGCAGCAACCTGAATGAACTTAGAGTCTATAATAATGAGTGAAACTTCACAGAAACAAAGAACTGAGTATCACATGTTCTCATTCACCAGTGGACCTTGAACAACTTTTGTAATACTGTAAGAAAAGGATTGACAGTAGTGGGAAACAGCGGGGGCTTGGGGCAGTGGTGGGGAGGTGGGATTGTTAGTAGTGGCAAACTGCCTGGGGAAAGGGAGCACACCTCATAAACAAGGGTACCTGCACAATGAATATTTGTATACTTAACCCTGAATTGTACCCCACAATTTTAAAATAAAAAATCTAAAGGTGAAAAAGAAAGAAAAGAAGATAACAAACCCAAAACATGCACAGAGTCAATCTAGGAAGTTCAATGGCCCAGGACTGAGACCATGAAGATGTAGCCTGTGGATTTATCAACATAGTTATTAGTTTAGGTCTCATGAAAATCAGTAAAAAATCAAGTTAATGCGTTCCAAGGTAAACAATGAAATATTTTATTTTTTAAGACTTATTATTAATTTATTTTTAAAATTGTTAAACTAAAATAGATCTCTATGACTCATTAGAGAGGTATGCCTAGAATTTTCCAGTTTTAGTATTGAAAGTCCCAATGTCTCTGACTCTCTTTAGCCTTGACGAATCCCTGATGCTTTGTCACTCTAAGTTCAAGATGCATTATTTATAACCACAACTTAAGATTTTATGATACATACATTAATTATGCTTTTTTGTTATGTTTTCATCTTCATCTATAAGAAAAATATGTAAAATCAAAGCCAACTTTTCTTTGAATGGCAAAATTATAGTTCTAAAGCAGACTTTTTTACTTTCAAAAGAAGAAAGTTGCATTTAATGTTTAAAGTGATAATTATTTTTGTGTGTGTGTGCTTCTTGCTGTGTTACCCTTATTATACTCCCAGCGTCACTGAGATAGTTTAAAAACAGCCCGCAACAAGAATGTTCTAATCACCAGCCACCTTTTCCACCTTTCTTCTTTTTCTGTTGCTGTTTCTTTTTTGTTGCTGGAGCCCCTGCAGGTTTTTGGTGTCTTGGGGGTATGATGTTACTTGTAGAGGCAGATACTGTTACTGCACTGCCAGGTCTTGGGGAGGTGGGTGGGCTGCTCACAGTTTTACTGGCATCCAGTTCTGATGGAGCAACGGCAGTTGCGCTCTGTGTCCCTTTTCCAATCTGATCCTTCTTTTTACCCTTCTTTCTTCCGCGGTAGTAAGAACGTTCTCACATTGGTAGCCATCTTTCTAGATCTGGGGTAACTTTGGGGTGATACTTCTTAGGCAGTTTTCCCTTCTTTTTCTTCTTTTTCAAATCTCCCTGCCCTTGCTCCTTTGGTTGGCTATCTCCAGTGACTTTTCCACCCTTCTTCCGAATATATGTAGCACCAGGAGAACTTTCAAGAGCCTCAACATCTACTTTTAGAGACGTACTATCCGACGAGGGCAAGTGTTTACTAAGAGCTTTGGCTTTCTCTGGATCTACAAGTGAGTAAGTAGAAATAAGCTGCGCCAAGGTATGAATATCTTTTGGATTTTATTTCCATAGCTGTTCTAGGTCACTAATAGCCTCCTTCTTCCGCCCATATTTGAGTTTGAAGTTTGCAACTTCTCTTATCAAAGACAAATGAGCAGGAGATTTGGGTTGATGGTTCTGATACCACTGGATAGCTTGTGTGAAGACCTCAATGGCACTATCAATATCTTCTTCATTGCTATACATGGTCACTAATGCAGACACCATGCCTGGTTTATGCTTTAATTCCTCTATGCTTCTCAGTATTAGACATGCTTTAGAAATATTACCTATTTCTATTAAGTGATAATTCTTAAATTGGATGTCTGACTGGTCACCAGATGTTCTAGGGATGCCTCTTAATTGATTATAATGTCTGACTTCAAAATGGACATGTATGTGTTTTGGAAAATCTATCTTTTAGACATACGTGTCTTCCTTAAGGATAATTTACTCTGATGAAAACTGAACAGGTGACTTTTCTTAGATACTTGATTGAAGACTTTCTTTTTTCTAATGGAAGCATTTTGCATCATACATTTCACTTCAAACATTTCTTTAGTACCTTCTTATACATTTTGGTACATTGTGTTTAAATTTTCATTCAAGTTAAATATGTTCTTATTTTCTTTTCAATTTGCTCTTTAGCCTATGAGATATTTAGAAGTATATTATTTAATCTCCAAATATTTTGTAGTTTTACAGGTATCTTTGTTATTAATGTAAAATTTGATTTTATTGTAGTCAGAGAAGAATTTTTGCATATCAATTATTTTTTTGTTTGTTTCTCTTGAGTTGAAGTCTCACTCTGTCACCAGGCTGAAGTCTGGTGGCACAATCATGGCTCGCTGCTGCTTCCACTGCCTGGATTCAGCCTATCCTTCCACCACAGCCTCCCAAGTGACTGGGACTGCAGGTGAATACCACTGTGCCTGGCTAATTTTTTGATTTTTAGTCAAAATGATGTCTTGCTATGTTGCCCAGACTGGTCTAGAATTCCTGGGCTCAAGCAATACCCCTGTTTCAGTCTCCCAAAATGCTGGGATTACAGACATGAGCCACTGTGCCTGTTCAGTATCAGTTCTTTTTAAGTCATAGAGGTTTGTTTTATGACACATGCTATTGTCTATCTTGCTGAATGTCTCACGTCCACTTGAGAAAGAATGTTTAATCTGCTGCTGTTGGATTAAGTCAGTTGATATTGGTTGATATTGAGATCTGCTAGATCCTTTATGATTTTCTATCTTGTTCTATTAATTACTGAGAGTTGTGTTGACTTTTTCATCAATACTTGTGGGTCTATAATTTTTTTCTTTTATGCTTCACGTATTTTGAAATTGTTTTGTTAGGTACATACATATTTAGGATTTTTATATCATCTTTGTGAACCTTTCTCATGTAATTTTTTCATCTCAGGTAATATTTCTTGTGTTGAAGACTACTTGATATTAATATAGCCACTCCAAGTTTCTTTGGAGTTGAGTTTGCATGGTATGTTTTTTCCTATCATTTCCTTTACATGTTTTTGTATGTAAAGAAAGTTTCTTATATACAGCATATATTTGGCTCTTGTTTTATTATTCAACTTGACTATCTTTGTATTTTAATTCATATGTTTGGCCATTTACCCTTAATGTAACTATACATTTGTGTCATTAAAATTTTCCCAAGTTGCTAATTGTTTTCTATTTGCTCTACCTGTTTTTTCTTCTATTTTTCCTTTCCTGCCTACTTTTGAATTTTTATTGCAATTTCACTTTAGCTTGAGTATTGGCTTATCATTTATACCTCTTATTACAGTAGTATTTCCTTATCTGTGGTTTTGCTTCCATGGTTTTAGTTACTGGTGGTCATGTGTTTTTTAGCATTTATTTTCTTCATGACCCCAGGCATAGTTCTATTTCTGAAACTCACAATCATGCCTTATTCATGGCATTGCTTTTTGGCAGCACATACTCTTGTGAGTAGCTGTTTTCAGTTATGAAGCAAACGAACAAACATTTCTGATAAGCAACTTGAGAATTCACTATGAATTGTGACCACTTTCATGGAACCAGACATTGAGAGATTCATTTTACAAAAACAAGGTCAAATTTCCTACTAGCTTTATATTCTCATTTTTTCTAAGCTTTGTAATAAAAATATATAAAAAAAAGAAGTCATATAATATATACACACTAACTATATTATATAATTGATGTGTGGCCCAAGACAGTTTCTCTTTACTCAGGGAAGCCCAGGGAAGCCAAAAGATTACCCAATGCAGTTCAGGGAAGCCAAAAGGGTGGGCACCTGTGGTATAATAGAAGGGTCCAATTTTGTTCTTCTGTATGTTTTCAGTTCTCCTAACACATTTTATTGAAGAGACTGTCCTTTCCCCACTGTGTGCTCTTAGAACAATTATAAAAAATCAGTTAATTGTAAATGTGTGTTTTCTAATCTCTTCCATTGATTGGTGCCTCTTTTAAAAAAAATTTTTTTTTTGAGATGGAGTCTCACTCTGTCTCCCAGGCTGGAGGGCAGTGGCACAATCATTCTGACTCAGCCTACTAAATAGCTGGGACTACGATGAACACCACCATACTGGGCAATTAAAAAAAAAAAAATTAGTGATGAGGTATCACCATGTTTCCCTGATTGGTCTTGAACTCCTAGGCTCAGGTAATCTTCTCACTTTGGCCTCACAAAGTGCTGAGATTATGTGTGTGAGCCACTACACCTAATGGTGCATCTTTTTTTTTTTTTTTTTATGACAGTACCATGCTGTTTCAATTACAATCACTTTATAATATATTTTAAAATCAGGGAATGTGATGCCTCCAGCTTTTTTCTTTTTGCTCAGGATTATTTTGACTCTGAGATCTGTGGATTCACACATATTTAAGGATTGTTTTTCCATTACTTTGCAAAATGATATGGGAATTTTGATAAATATTGCATTAAATTTGTAGATTGTTTTGGGTACTATGGACATTTTCACAATATTTATTTTTCCAATCCATGAATATGGAATATCTTTCCATTTATTTGTGTTCTATTCAGTTTCTTTCAACAGTTTTTCATAGTTTCCAATATATAGGTCTTTTACTTCCTTGGTTCAATTGCAGCCAAGTATTTAATTGTTGTGATTGTAAATGGAAGTCTTCAAAAATTGCTTTTTGGATAGTTTGTTATAGAAACACTACTAATTTCTATACATTGGTTTTGTATCCTACAAGTTTACTGAATTTGTTTATGAGTTCCAACACATTTTGGATGGAGTTTTAGAGTTTTCTCTCTATAAGATTATGTTGTCAGCAAATAGAGAGAAATTAACTTCTTCCTTTCCTACTAGGATGCCTTTTTCCCTTTCTCTTTCCTAATTGCTCTGGCTAGGGCTTCTAGTACTATGCTGAAAAAGTATGGTGAGAGTGTGTATTTTTGTTTTGTCCCTGATCTTAGAGGAATTACTTTCAGCTATTTAATGTTGAGAATGAGGTAAGCTGTGAGTTTCACATATATGGTCTTTATTGTGTTGCATTACATTTCCTCTATGCTTAATTTTTTTTGGTCAGAATCTACTCTGTTGCCCAGGCTGAAGTGCAGTGGCACACTAATGACCAAGACAGGCTTTATCTGCTGGGCTCAGCAATCCTTCTACCTCAGTCATCCAAGTAGCTGGAAATACAGGAGCGTGCTACCATGCCCAGCTAATTTTTTTGATTTATTGTATAGACGAGTTCTCCCCAAGTTACCCTGGCTGGTCTTGAACCCTGGGTTCAGGCAATCCTCTTACCTCCACTTCCAAAAGTGCTGGGATTACAAGCATGAGCCACTCTGTCTGTGCCTGGCCTATACCTAATCTCTTTTGAGAGCTGTTTTTTTTTAAATTATAAAAGTATATTAATTGCAGGGTCATATGGAAGATCGATTTTTAGAACTTTTAGGAATTGCCACACTGTTTTCCACAGAGGTTGTACTAGCTTACACTCCCACCAACAGTGTAGAAGTGTTCCCCTTTCCTTGCATCCTCTCCAGTATCTGTTGTTTTTTGAGTTATGGATGATGGTCATCCTAATTGGAGTTAAGTGGTATCTCAGTGTACCTGGAAAAACACAAAGGGTGTTGAATTCTGTTAAATGCTTTTTTTTTTTGCATCTGTTGAGATGACTATATGAATTGTACCTTTCACTTTGTTAATGTGGTGTTACACATATTGATTTGCATATATTGATTTTTGCATCCCAGGAATAAATTTCACTTGGTCATGGTGAATAAAATTTTTAACACATTCTTGAATTTGACTTGTTAAAAATTGCTTACAAATTTTTCATCTTTGTTCATCAGGGATATTGGCTTATACTTTTCTTTTTTTCTTTTTTTTTTAGGTTAGTCTAACTCTGTTGCCCAGGCTGGAATGCAGTGACACACTCACAGCCACCCCAGTGTTGACCTGCTGGGCTCCAATGATCCTGCCACTCCCTCAACCTTCCAAGCAGCTGGAACTACAGGCACGTGATACCATGCCCAGCTAATTCTTTATTTGTTGTAGAGACAAGGTCTTGCCAAGTTACTCCAGCTGGTCTGGAACCCGCGGGCTCAGGCAATCCACTTGCCTCAGCCTCCCAATGTACTGGAATTACAGGATGAACCACCAAGCCCGGCGGCTTATATTTTTCTTGCTTGTAGTGTCCTTGTGTAGCTTTGATATCAGGGTAATGCTAGCTTCATAAAGTAAGTTTGGAATTGTTCCTTTTACTTTGATTTTTTGAAAGATTTTTAGAAAAGTTAGTAGCAGCTATTTAAATATTTGGTAGAAATTAAAAGCAAAGCCATTTGGTCCCAGGATTTTCTTTGATAGGAAACTTTTAATTATTGATTCAATCTCCTTACTTATTAGTCTGTTCAGATTTTCTGTTTCTCATGAATCAATCTTGGTAGGTTTTTTGTGTCAAGAAATACATCTATTACTTCTAGGTTGTTAAATTTGTTGGCATATAATTATTCATAGTAGTTTCTTATGATCCTTAGTATTTTGATGGCATTAGTTGAAATGTTTCCTTTTTAATTTATGATCTTATTTGAGTAGTTTCTCTTTTTTTTTTCCAAGTTACTCTAGCTAAAGGTTTGCCAATTCTATCTTTTCAGAAAACCAACCAACTCTTAGTTTTGTTCATCTTTTCTATTGTTTCTTTCATCTCTATATCATTTATGTCTGTCCTGAGCTTTGTTACTGTCTTCCTTCTGTTAGCTTTGGTCTTATTTGTTCCTGTTTGCTTATCTCCTTGAGGTATAATATTATTTCATTTATTTGCTATCTTTCTTATTTTTTGATGTAGGTGTTTATGGCAATAATTTTTTCTCTCAGGACTTCTTTTGCTATATCCCATATGTTTTGATA